AATACAAGAATGGAAAATGTAGAAGCATGCCACTAAATAGCCATCATTCACGAAAAGGTAACGGCAATGGGTCCGTTATAAAACACACCAAGGGATCAGTAAGCCGAACTATGCAGCATGGATTTCAACACTGGTTTCCCATCCTGGTGACAGTATTTTGAACAGAAAATTCTGCATTCAATATCTAAAAAATGCTTGTATGAAATAGCTAAAATCAGTCAGAAAACGAATAATCCTTTTCTGCTACAGATGAGGGACTTGAATTACAGGCTACAGCAAAACTACCTCTTTCCAAGGAACGCTTATTTTCACGTATCAAGAACGTACTAATCTAATATATGGCAGAGAATTTGGTATGAACTTGGGTAGCCAGCTGGGCAGGCTCCAAACAGGTGGAGAGGCAAGGCTCAGCCCTGAAGCTGCTAAGTTTATTTGCAGTTTCTGCCTGAAGCACCAATCTCTTGTGCTTAAACAAAAGAAGGAAACACAGGATGTGTGTTCTCAAGGCAGAATCTCAGCCCAAAGAAGCAGTGAGACCTGCTAGAATACAGCTATTTGTAAGTGCAGAAGAAAAATACTGACAAGTCACCAACTTGTCAGTCATCAGAAGCAAATTCATTCGAATGAGGAATGTGGACCCCACCAGAGACAATGTCGTACAGGACTTCTTTGTGACTCAGCTCCCTTACTGTGAAAAACACCCCCTCCCAGATGAAGGTTCTGTTATCACTATAGTTAAAGATGCCTGCGTGGAGAATGTAAAACAAGGGAATGTTTCCAGGGTAGTTTGTTAGAAGCGAAGTTGTAGTTGCTGTAAATTCAGTTTACCCAATAGCATCTGCTCTTTCTTGCCTGGAAACACTGTTAAATTAGACGAGATCCAAGACGAACGGCTGTGTGCTCCCAACTGGAGCAGCAGCTTTGATTTTGCTGCCTGCTATCAAGAACACCTGAATGAACACTGGCTGCACAGTGACCAACCTATCAAACCTGCAGAGCTAGTGTGTCTACAGAAGCATCCCAGGCACAAACACGGCACACGGGACAACAACTATCAAATTCTTCTTTTTGGGTTACAAATCAAAGGAGTGCTCCATTTCAGATCCTTTAGCTTCACTTCATAGCAAATTAAACAACATTGTTATTTCAAATCAGTATCAGCAAACCGAAGTGTGCACATAGAAAAACCAAAGTCAGACAAATGAATACACACCTACAAACACATGTGCATACAAAATATTTCAGTTTTGTATATTTAAAGCTGTCTCTTTGTGTATCTTGAAAACACAATGGATCTGAATAGTCTTGCACCATCAATTCCCAAACAGATCGATGACAAAGCACCAATAAACAGGGATACCACCAGCAGAGGTGGCATGACAGTGTCTGCATAGAAAGGTTTTTCCTCAGACCCTTTTTACACTCTGGGAAGTGTTGAAGGCACTGCTGCAAGTTACCAGTAAGAAAGATCTCAAGACGTCTGCACTCAATAAAGTCTAGTTTAAATGGTAACTTCTAATTTTATTGTTAAATTTAGTAGAGGGTGAAGATGAAGCAGTTTTGGAAAGGAGCAAATTGGAACCAGGGGAAACACGACTTGTCTGCTCCGTAAGAACAAAAACCCCAAAAAGACTATCTGTCACAAAGCTTTATTCCAATCATTTCTTCACTGTTAACTTTAATTATACACTCTGTCTGTCCTATAATTATGGAGCTTGGGAAGCTGCCGATTATTTCCTGTGGAAAATTTCTTGTAGAGATTCCACATTACTTCCATCACTGCATTCCACAGACTATGTCACCTTTAAAAGCAAAGCCTCTGATGATAGCAATTGATTATTTAAGTGGAACATGAAAGAAAGGCAATGTCCCTGATAGCATCAGACAACTAATGAAAAAGAGAAAGTAAAGCCAGCTCAATAGAAAACTAATTCAATAGGAAACATTTTCAGAAATCAACATGACAGGGCAGGACACGACGCAACCAAAGAGAACAGGGATTTGCTTCCCCTCCACTACACAGCCTTTCTTTGGGATGCTACAGTAAACAAAAAACCAAGATTCAAAATCAATTAACTCAAAGTCTAAACACTGTGTTGGTCTGAAGGAAGACAGCAAGTAAAGAAGACATTACTGTATTTCATGACAGGAAAATACTGTATTTCCTAACAGGAAAAAGGTGAATGAGAGAAATGAGAAGTAGGTAGGAAAGAATCAAACAGGCAGGAAAAGTTTGGTTATTTTTGTTTCACCAACCAGCACTCGTGTTTTCACCCTGAAATGCCTTCTGCTTTCAAGATGCAGAGTTACTCATCTGCTCTATTCCTTCGTAGCCACATTCTTCAACATACTGCCATTGTATTTACTCTTCCTACAAGTACTTTTGTTTGCAACTTGGTCTTTGAAGCCCCAAAGCGAAGGGCACTTCAATTTCAGACATCCTGCCCACCTAATTCATTTATTACGCAAACTATTTCTAGGTAGAGTCACTTACAAGAGGCAGAACAAGGAATGAAAAGGAAAAAGATTATTTCTCACTTATCTTCTAACTTCTCCTTACCCATTTCTTTCAGTAACACAAGAAGATACTTGACTAAGGGCCATACTATGAAAGCAGCAGGTCAGACTGCAGTGATTTGTGCTGTCTATTAAAATGCAGCGCTGCCAATACGCTCAGTGAAACCATCGTTGCTTCCTGATAGTGACTATGCTTAAAATACCACATTCTGTCAGGAGCAACTTCCTATTTTCCAAGTTTGTTTCAAACCAACCCTGGTTTCCAGTCTCAATTTTTAACTACTGCACAGCACAGATATTGTCCCACAGTACAACAATCAACTGTACTGCAAAGGGCCAAGCTGAAAATAATCTCTCCTCTTAGAACCAAAATATTTCCTAACATCAAGAATGGGAAAAGAGAAAAGAGCTTCTGTCAAACAAGTTTTTCAGTATGCAAGTACTGTTTGTGTAGATAATTTCTTGTGGAAACTTAACCTTGACCACAGAGAGAATTACTGTTAGGATCTAAGAGCAGAAATACAGCTGAAAAGATAAGCAAGGTCAACAGGCTGTACAAGTGGAGCAAGCTGGTGTTGCAGGAGCTTTGGGAGCCAAAGGCCGTGAAGAAAAGGGGTGATGTTAGATGTGAAATAAGGAACTCAAAATGAGAAGGTAACAGGCATGTCAGGACCCACAGGGAACTACTGTACACCAGCTAGTAAGTCAAGGAGACTAACAGCGAAAAATCAGGTGTCTTTTGTGATCAAAGACCAGCAACGCTGCAGGAGTTGCACAGCACCATTCATCTCACTGGTGTTCTGCATGACAGGGTGGACCACAGCAGGTGAGTGAGCTACTTGCCAGCAATGCTTGTGTAAGCACCAAGTAGAACTACTCAGAGAAGATGGGTAGGCTAACACACTCACAAAGCGCGTTAACAGTTCCCAAAGCAGCTTTGGGCAAGCAGTTTAATCCGAGCATGCTTCAATACAGCATTTCTAGTGTACATGTGTTCTTTCTCAGGTGGAAAATACATGAGGCACCCAAGAACCATACAAGAATAAAAGCAGGTGTCTCGAAATAACAACAGGAATTCTCAGTAATTCAGCAGCAAAAACACCACACTACAGAAACAGAGCGGAGCCAGCAGCAAAGTCCCTTCTAAAGAGCAGCTAATTACACGCTACACTGACCCCAGTTTTTAAGACAGCATTTGCAACATGAAAACAAACAATAAGAGAACTGGAGAGTTGTCAACAAAAGCTCTGCTTCAACAGAATTTCAGTCATCTTTAAATTCTTTCCAACTTCTATAAAACACGACTGTCTTCTTTGGGAGCACTGGCAGCCCCACTACGTATATTCTCTAAAGTCAGGGGGTTCAGAAGAAGCCTATGAAGCAGCACGGGCCAGCTCTTACCAGATTTTAATGAGAGAACAACAACCAACTCTCTTCTTTTTATAAACGAACCCACAGTTTGGCATAGTTCAGCCAGGATGTGAAATAGCCCTTCATTTCAAGGATGTACAGGGGTTGAGAAACACCACTGTATTGCATGCTGCCACAGTTTCTTCTACCAGTTATTGCTAGATTCAGACTGAGGAGAAAGATATATTTAAAGAGCAGATCTTGTGGCCTCCTATCATGTCCACAGATCAAGCTGGCCTGGGTACCAGCAGGCCCTTTACAAACCTGTTTGAGCTTTGACACTAATCTACTTGAAGCACGAACTAGTTGATAATGCGCATTAAAAGGTCACTCTTCACTTTTTAGTAGAAATAACTGGAAACCATCTCTACTATCTGAAAATACTGACCTTCCAGCCTATCCTCTGCTCCCATCTGTGTTCACTAGTTCTATGCTTGGCAAATATTTGATTTCTGTAAAGGTCAGGGAAAGTTCCATTCAGAGGCAGGGATTACTCAGCTGCGTACCTCTTCTTGTAAGGATGCAACACATAACTTCCTACATTTGCTATTTCAAGAGTAGTTGAAGTGGAGCGGTCAGGGGGCAGGAACAGGTTGTGCAAATGAATCATGATGCTTTTTACTTATTCTTCTCCAAGCATTTCCTCACTCCAGTTTTACAGTGCACATCCTATCTCTCAGGACACTGCCAGCTCAGTCACTCTTCAAAGCATTTGCTCATCAAAGCCTCGTTTCTTGTTTACTTATTTCTGAGCTTATGGACATCCATCACACATCTGAAAAAGGCACAAGCTCATCTCCCTTCTCTTTGCAGGACTAAGCAAGAAGTTATATTTGGAAGAAGTAGTATCTATAATGTTTGACTCGGCAGTGATAGACCAGGCAGCTGTACAGCTTTCTCCCAAATCTTTTGCAGACTTATACCATGTTTTAGTGTTACACGGTTTGCCTTCCTAGAGTTTGCTGATAATGACACCAGGATTCTGAACCTCCTCTTCAAAGTCAACAGTAATCAGGACATAATCACTCTGAACAGGCAACTGCACAGACCTCAAAGGTGAGAAGGAGCCTTACCCGTATATAAGCATCCTGGTGATGTTTAGCGAAGTACAGCATGTTGTCAAGGGCTAGCATTCCTGGAGGGGTCTGTGTAAAATCCATGGCAGGGTTTACATGATTCTGTAAAGAGATAACAAGTTGACTCAATTAGCATCTTCACAAGAGCTGTCCGCTCCCCAGTGACGCGCACCATGAGCAGGTAGCTGCTGCGTCAGGCAGTCCAGCAACACAGCTCTTCTTACTGAGCAGAAAACTCTTCCCAAGGAAACAGCCCATGCCTCTAAAGTTAAAAGCCAAATGCAAACACTACGAGGTTGGCAAGTCAGTCATTCACTTCTGTGGCTACAGAATGGAGTTTCCCAAAGGCAGAATGTGTTGGAAGCACGGATTTCCCATGTCTTTCATGGCAGGAAGATGCCTCGGGTGTACCACCTACTAAAAGTACTATTTAAATGAAAGTGCAGATATACACACAAACAGCCACCAAAACACCTCTTTATACAACTGCTCTGGAATGATTTCTAATAAACCACAAGAAGGAGAAAAACCTATTAGATTCAAAAGCTGTATTAAGTCTATGGGATCTTGTGTACTCCTGAACACAAAAGGCCTCAGACAAAAGTGTATGAAATCAAACAGATTTGCCTGTGGAATTCAGGTAAATTTTTGGTTACGGTCTGAATCTATGAATTTCAACTATGGAACTAATGAATGAACAGACCAAATAACACCAGAACTTGTCAGCTTCCACATGCACCTACCAATTCCAAATGGCTGGTTCCACACACTACATCAAAACCCACACTTGCTCAAAATATCCATTGACTCAGTCCATCTTTTGACTGCATAGAATTAAATGTACATTTGAGTAAGTTTCACACAGTTCATGGTTTGGATATGCACATTTGCCTGGCTACAGACAGGCTTGAGAATACCACAGAAGCTGCTCAGAGAAACAGAGGCTCTATTCTTGGTGGAGTGTGTCTCCATCAAAAACACGCCTATCGCCTGCTGTGCTCTTTTATCAGTACCACCTTTGTGATGTCTCCAGCTCCACTCATCATCCTGACACAGCGAGATTTCCCTTGGTGCTTTACGATGGCATTTCCATTCCAGAAGACGCAGCTGACAGAGAGTTTAAAAGTGTATTTACTATCAGTAAATTGCCCGGTGCAGATCAGCACAGATTCCTTCTACCATCAGTCTACCACAGACCAGTCTGACTGCCCCACCACACTGACAAAAGCACGGGCTTTACTACTTTATCCTCCTGTTGACTCTGTCAGGCCATAACATGGTAGAAATCTGAGACCTTATTCCTTTGCGTGTCTCACCTTTAGGTGTGCGATAGGTTGGGTTTAGCCAGGCAATAATTCACAGTCACGTGAAAGACTAGAAATATTTGAAAGGTAAAATTATACATTAAGATGGTTGCTGCAACTTTATAAGGAGACAAAGGTTTGGGGCTGAGAAGGCATGCATAACCTGTTCAGTTTACATCTCCAGCTTCGAGAACTGCTGTACTAGCAGAACAATCACAGGCTTATCATTTTGCAACAGGGAGTCAAGCGAGTATCTGGAATCCTAGATTTCATAGGGAAGTATCTAGGCAGCAGATGTATCAGAAGGGTGGGAAAACAAAAGGCTCAGTTGTGCTTTCCAAAAACTCCTTTTTTTAAAGCATTTTTTTTAATAAACATTCAAATGTTCATCTGAATGATGAACAACAGCCCTTCATGGCTATTTCCCCAGCTTAACCTTCCACCTTCCACATGCGACACATTCATCAGTCAGAACCTTTAAAACCGGATCAAGACTGCATCACACACATCACAAGACCAACAAACCTCAGCTTCTGGGAGGAGAAAACTTCCCATCCCACAATTTTTATGCATTCCAGAAAAAGCAGCGAAGAGCTGTCAACAAGGAACCAGTTTTATACCTTTTGCAAGCAGAACTTCGGCACAGGGCTGCACCTACTCTCTTCACCCCCATGCTATAGCACAGGCAGAGTATACTCGGATAAATACCTGGCAAGCAGATAAGAGCATCAAGACCCATCTACCCTTCTCCAGCTATTAGAACACCAGCACTCATTTCACCAGTAGCAGGACACCCAAATAAAAAGGCTCACCTACTGCTGCTTGAATAGTTCTTTCCTTCATCCCATTCTACATCTTGAATTGTACAGAAACATTGACCAAAACCAGCAAGGGCATAAGAAATCTCACCACATGTCGTAAGGATGACTCATTTTGTCTTGTACCATCACTACTAGTGCTATGTTCAAGCAGAAAAGCCATCTCTCCATCACTCACTACTTTTTTTCTAAGTCAAGCCTATAAACCTATCTGGTTTCAGTTGTTTGTTTTAAATGTTTCCGTGACTTTGGATCCCAGGATAACCAGAGCTTGATCTACAGCTCTGTTAAGTCAATTACCTGGAGATATGCCAGCTGGTAATAGCTGAGGATCCACAAGACAGCTCTGGCATGTGTGAAACAATACATTACCTTCAATTATTCTTCAAATTCAAAAAGAATCCCAACTTCTTTGTTCCCTTCCTTCTTCCTCCCTCCCCCTAAAATCATCCTTTTCTTAGTATGTTGAATGTTTGTGGTTGAAATATTAACTTATTGAGAGTAGGTTGAGAAATGAGATACAAAGCTAAATTATCTAAAATGCCACAGTGAATAATTCAGAAGTATGCAAACACCCTCACCTACAACATCATTTATTAAACACACGGAACACAATGCCTCAGGCATAATAGTTGCATCTGTTTAGTATAACGCTATCGCATTTTTCTCTTTATAAAAAGCCAAGAGTAAGAAACACAAATGGAATAGATCTGTTACCTTCAAATTTTCAGATAATTTTGTGGTTTTTAACACCAGACTAATGTCTATGCATCTCTCAGCTTCCGTGTCTGAGTGGTATTTAACAGCTTATGCTTTTAGACCATACATGTTAACATTATCAAACTCATCCAGAATTTGTTAGCCAGCTTAGCAGGGTACTGTGGGAATGAAAATTCATTGTTTTGGATAAGATGTAAACCCCAAATCGTGTCTGTTTATGCCATAAGTAACTAAATCACATGGCACAAGATTACTCTGGATAAATTCCAGTGCAGTAATTACATTCTGGTAACCTGGCATTCTCATGCAGTCCTAGCTGTGTAAAGCTTTCTTCTCTGTCCTGAATGGCTCCGCTGTCTTAATTTTGGCTTCCAGGGCAATTGCTGAAGGATGTATAGAATGTGTCCTCACACCGAGATGCCCAATCACAGGAATGGTGTACTGTCTGTAGACAGCTGCTGATGGAATAAGCAACACCCATTCCTTACCCTACTCCTAACAGCACCATCTCCCATGTGAATATGCTGAAGCATAGAAACCATGTTAATTCCCTGCATCCCTAGCCTATTACAGTACAAATTTATGTCTTGACAGATATTGACAACTTATCACAGATTTTGCATCAGTGCTATGTGCAGCTGTGTAAATCAGTTGCCAAGTCATGACAGTTTGTCCTGAAAGCTGCTCGCAGTACGTGCTAGACCTGGTAAGAGCTGTTCTGCATAGAAGAGCAAACTTCTGTTTTCCCAACCCCAAAGCAGCGTAGGTGAAATGTTATTCTGCACGCCTCACTTCTGTATGTTTGTATGACAGAAACACTACACAAGTTCCCAGGGAGTAAAAGAACTGAAAAGGAAAAGTCCAATTTAAGTGGTGTTGATCTAAAATGAACCTTCTCAGAATGGTCACAGTGATATTCACAGTGAATTATGAATTGGTAAACTTACGTTAGAACTATCAACTAGCACACAACCTTACCATTTACCCCTTCCCTAAATAATCCTGAAGTTCTACATGCAAAATGTTCCCATCTGTTCATTTACACAAGAATTACAAATATGAAGAAATCTACATTTAAAACAACAACCAAAAAACCCACAAGCAGTTGGGAAGAGGTAGTCAGCTCAAATTCTTAATGAGGAAGTAATTCTGTCTTTTTATTTAACAGCTCTATATTCAAAGAGATGATGATGCACACAACTTCCACCATCCGATTTAATGAGATATAGCAGTGACTTGGGAATTTGCAACCTCTCTGCATTCAATGTATCATAGAATAGTTTGGGTTGGAAGGGACCTTTGAAGATCATCCTAGTTCAAACGCCCTGCAACGGGCAGGGACATAACAAAAGCAAGAACCAACAAATGGAATAGAATGAAAATGGATCTGGAGGATCCCTGGATTTAAATAAAGTAACAATTTAAATAAAGTAACACTGGTTTGGGTTGGGTGTATCTCTGCAGTTAGAAGTACCCAATATATCAAATATAGCCAATATATCAAAGATACAGCTGCAACTGCTGTATCTCTGAAAGAATATGCAGAAAACCTTTCCAGATACTTTCAGTGCAAGTCATTTCAATCACATCCCCACTACCCCGCACGTATAAAGAACTAGAATATAGTTCTACTGCATATAGTTTTCATAAAAACTCACTAATTAAGTTTGCACACAATGATGGCAGGTTTTCCTTCAAAAAACACTGCTGCTTTTTCCAGCTTTGTGTTTCAGCAAATGTTTAATATTAAGCATTTCTAACTGGTTACTTATTTTCATATGACAGTTCAGCAATGCACATTAGTAGACTGCAAATGTTATTCTTCAATAACAAACTTCGCTCTAACCTACATAACATGTTAAGCAATAGCATTTCTGGATCAAGTTTGACCTCACCAATATAAACCTGACCTTCTCACTAGCAAAAAAATCCTAAGCACAATCTGCACAGAATTTTCTTTATAAAAGATTTAAAAAACAACCATAATTTGACGACTGCATTCCCTTAATTCACTGAGCTACTGCATAAATCTAACATAAAGCACCACAGAGGTCTACATAAGTCACCACCAGAAATCTGTCCCAGTCATAAATCACAGAATCCCACACTGGTTTGGGTTGGAAGGGACCTTAAAGCTCATCCAGCTCCAACCCCTGCCACGGGCAGGGACACCTTCCACTAGAGCAGGTTGCTCCAAGCCCCTGTGTCCAACCTGCCCTTGAACACTGCCAGGGATGGGGCAGCCACAGCTTCTCTGGGC